TACAGGCATTTGGCGGGCTAGGCTACAGACCTTCGATCGGCTCAGGTATGGACCTTTGGTTGGCTCGCCCTCTTGATCTGATTAGCAATTATCTCTTTTTCTTTTTGATGAGAATCTGATTATCATGATGAGATTAGGTTGTCAGGTAGAAGATAGTTTACCGTCATCTAATAGGTTGCTCAACCCCCTTCAACAAGAATGCCGCTAGGGAGTTGTGTAGATGCCTTATTGGGTGCTAGTGTCCGTGAATGGTTTTTGAGGGTTTTTCCGCGGTGAATTGTAGTGTTTTTTCGAGGGGCTTGACTGTTCCCCTTTCTTGGAGGATGTTCCTTGGTCCTTGCCTGAAGGGGTTGTTGTTCAGCAGTATATTTTCCCGGAGTAGCCTTGGTCAGTCCTTGGATTTCATGGGTTTATGTTGTTGTGATCTCTTACTTTTGGTGGACCATCTTTAGCCACACTTTTATTTTAGGATCATAAGATTTCTCTGGGATTCATGCTGACAAATTATGGGTGTACACAAGGGTAATCTTTGTGAAATGATGTTAAATGGGTGGAGAAATATGAAGTAGGGCTAGCCAAGGAGAGCCTTCGCCTTGACTAGATTGGCATCATTTTATTTTATGTTTATGAGGTAAAGGAACATCTTATAAGAAAGTCCTTTAAATTAGACTCTGGTATGAATTATTTTTGGAGAGGTTCAAGAATGTTGAGAGCTTCTACTCTCTTATCTCTGATGCTGTGTCTTCGAAGGCCAAGCCTAATGATGAAGAGGAAAGCAATGCACCATCAGAAAGTTGTCTCTTTATTATTTTTACAGTTTCTTTTTTAAATTAGTTGAGTTTAAAATGCTTGTACTTAACATTTATTGATGATTGACATAACTTTTACCAATGTCTGTTTTCTTTTTTTTTCCACATGTATTTGTGATTTTAATGTTCATATTTGAATTCCAAACTATTGTGCTGAGTTCTTATTCTTATTATGGAGTTGGTTTCACGTTTTTAGAGTTGTTGAGTTGAGTTTAAGGGTATATTGAGTTAACTTCTCCCAAATATGTTGAGTGGAGGTGGTTTTTAGGATGTGTTGAGTAAATATGAGCTGAGTTCAAGAGTCAAATTTTCCAATTCAAATGAAAACTCGTGATATGGCTTTTTGAGCCTTGCTTTCATTTTTTTATACATCTTTGGGCTAGTGCTTGCTTAGGATGGCTTTTACCTTCTTCTGTAGCTTTTTTATTAATTATAGGGATAAAATGATGATCTAGACTTATCGCTTAAAAGAAACCACTTTCACTTTTAATGCTGATCTTGTCACAAAAGAACGAGTACATTTTAGAGTGAGTTTTTTGTCAAAAGGATGCTGAAAATGTTTGGCGCGATGCTTAATCATTTAAAAAATAATAATAATAAAATAAAATAATTGGAATATGAATCTTGAAGTTGGCCAACTTTAAGCTGAACCTGAAATGAGAAATTTTGTCTTCAATGTGTCATCCGATAATTGTAATTGTGATACATAATTTGAAAGATATTGAATATTCTTACTTGCTTGGATTTGCCTCTTTTCCTTTAAATGATTTTTATATTTTGAATTAAGTATAATGTTGACTTCATCTGGTGGATTGTTCCTCTATTGGTGGACTATAGTAAGTAGTTTCATAGTTTTTAAACTTGACTTTAACCTCAGATCACTTTGATCTCTTTTTTAAATTATTCTATATTTTCCCGAACTAGTCAGAACGGTCACTTGGGAATTAAGTTTTTTAAATATAAATTAAGTTTCTAGAATTACTCGATGTCATTTTGAAAGTTGACGTTTGGCTTAGATGAAATTTCTTAAATTATATATATTCATATCTTTCTTTCATCCTTTCTTTTTATTTTTTAACAAAATAAAAGGTCTTTAAAGTGGAACAAATTTCTCTGATCATGAAAAACAGTTTCAGCTTATGACGGGAAATTGTATGCAATAAGTAGTAGGACTTTAGTCTATTTGACAGTGCAAATTAAGTTTGTCCGATCAAAAAAGATGGTGTAAATTTTAAAGCACATTAGATTAATGATAGAGTTTTAATAATATTTTGAACTTTTTTAGAAGATTTTAAAATTTGCTTATTTGTAGCCCCAATCTACTTATTAGTTTTTGGGTAATAGATTGAGGCAACCTTGAGTGGGATCTCTTATGTTGGGCAAAAACAATTTGTATTTAGAAATTATGCTTGTTTAGATGAAATTATAAGTAACTTCTGTAGTAGTCTTTGCCAATTGTTTCACTTCTGTCTAGTTTGTAAAGTGGACAATCATTATCCAGATGAATTTTCTTTGACCAAGTGCTAGGTGAAAGGGCCAACGCCATTCACCAGACAATGAACATCCATGGACTGAAAATTGGTTGGAGGTTATGGGAATGCTCTAACTGCATTGGTGCAATTGTTTTGGCTTTGAACACATCACTTAAAGAATTCCTCCACTTTTTTATTGAAATTGGCTAGAAATACTCTTATATAAAAATTCTATTTGCCAATCTTTTTCCCATGAGTGACTTCTACCACCTTCTGAATGCAACTTCTTAAAGATCCCCTCAATCTTTCACTTCTTGATGGTCATAAAGTTAATGTGTTGAGAATTTGTAGGATGCATTTTTATTTGGTGGAAACCAGTTGTGTCAAAAATTTTTTGATCGGAAAATCATTTATGAAGTCAATTAACACGTTTTATGAGATTGGGTAGTCTTCCTTAGGATAGACTGAGTTTAGGTTGGTGAAATCAACATAAATTTCATTTCCTGCAAAAATTTTGTTTCATGATCGCATTGGAGATCTTTTATGGGTGATACACTTCTCTGATGAAGCAATCCTCTAGTAATTTTTGCACTTGACAACAGATGAGTTTGGCTAATGTTATTTAATATTTTTTTGTATAATTGGCCTCGTCGATTTTCTCACGTTGACTTGATGGCAAGCAACATTTGCATCCACCCTTGGCATCCTGGCAGCTAACTAGGTGAATGTTTGAATATTTTTTGGGAGAGCATTTGTAAGATGGTGGTTTTTCTTGATCGTACAGGATGCTGAACCAGAGATTTTGACTCTCTTTTTCGTTTGAGATAACGGACTTCTGCAACAACCACTAAAGTTTTGAGTCCAATCTCCTTTGAACCATCATTCGCAAGGCTTTTTGGACACTCGATAGCTTTTGCTGAAACATGTCCTTAACTACATTAGGTTTCCCCAAACAATGCTAATATGTTCTATTGATACAAATTTTATAGCATTGTGGTGGGTGGAGACAAGCTTAGGGGGGTTAGGAGAGGACAACATATATTTTGTTGCAAGTCATTGGGAAGTCATCTATAATGTAGCTTTCCATGGTGGTGTATTGCTGCATTCCTTCTCCCTCAAGTGACCGACAATCTAAATAATCCCTTCAGCTTCCCTGCATTCACTAGAGAGACCACGAAGTGGCCTGAAAGTACGTCTCATGCAAGCAAAATGAAGGTTCATCTTTTCAAAAAAGACTCGTATAAAAATTATGTTAATTGAAACTCTCGTGTCAACACTCATCGCATTGTAAGGGTATAGAATTTAAATTTATTATCCGGCAGCTCCAGAATATTGCTGACAAGAATGACTGAAAAACAAAAGAGGAGAGAAAAAGAGAGACTAGGGGTAGAGCTGTGATTTCTTATTCCATTTCTTGCGAATAAAAGACCTATGCAAATTATTTCATTTTTCTTAAGCTTGCTCTATGACCTCCTATTTATGGGTACGCGTTAAGACTCAACACTATAGGAGTGATTATTTATGAGAAAATGTAAATTACATGACGATATGCCATCTTCGATTACATTAAGTTTGCATTACTGATTTTCATATGATGAGTGGATCCTCATGTAGTTGTTGGCTTTGTTCACGAGTACCAAATCCTAGCAATATGGCTTGGAAGATTTACCTAGTTGATCACTGGCATTAAGTTCATCAAGCAAGTTGGTTTGAGCTGTCTTGGCACCAGGAAACTTCTTGTAGTTGGGCTTAAGGCGAAGTGGCTCTGCTGAAATGCTTGGTGAATTCAGCTTGTTGGGTAATTGAGTTGAGCATGTGAACACTTGTCAACCAGCGGAGTGGCCTTGAACTTAGCCCAGATGATTTCAGGTTTGCAATAGAAGTCTGTCGTATTGCTTCAATTGGTGCAATCATTGACAGAAAAAACCACAAAGGAAACATGAAATTTATTTTGAAATAACCAGAATAAAGTTTGGAAAATAAATTTAATGGGAGATTAAAGAATCATAAGGAACCATCACCTGTATTGATTGAAATTAAATGCAATAGAAATATCAGGTGGTATAGTGGGATCTTAACAGCTTTAGCCGTTCGAAGCTTTAAGGAAATGTGAATGATATTAATCATCAAAAACAAGTTATAAAGGAGAAGAATTGTTGAGCTTTCTAAGCTTATGAAGGTTCTTTAACTTTGAATGAATGTTAACCACACAAAATAAACATCATTGAGGTAGACTTTATTTCTAAATTATTGGAATCAACCTTGTTGAATCAGTTTGGCTGTCCTTACCAGACAAAGCACTCTTGTTGCACACTGTTAAGCATGCTGGAACCCACATTTTGCTATATCCGGGGTTGCTTGTCAAAGTGAAGAGCTAGTCTTAAGCTGTAGAACTTTGCTTCGTAAGTTTATTTATATACAATGAAAAACTTTTCCTTTGACCCACCAACAGTTTAATAACATTAGTATGTTTAAGCAGAATTGCCACGTGAAATTTGGATAACTTTTTCAATCCCATAGCTTTTAGCTAAAATTGAAATTAATTTACAATATTTTGATGCTGCCTTACAAAAATCAAGAAAAATGTTGTCATCCCTTCTGCTATTGAGAGGCCTTGTAATTGAAACTTTATCTTTTGGGTTTTCGTAGAAATGAATGGAATATTGCCTTTATATAGTTGCTTGATTGCATTCTTACTCGATTAATATTTTATTTTCAGGGAACACTAGCTGCTGCACGGCGTGCTACTGCTTTTGTTCGAGGAGATGATGTTATGCATAAGTTGTTCACAGAGCTGGCTTATCGCTACAAGTATTCCTTATATTATAATTTTAATTCTCATTTCAAAAGTTCCATAGCCTCATCCATTATGTAAATTCTTCCTTTGGTAAAAGAGATAGAGAAGGTGGATATACAAGACTGCTTAGAACCCGCATAAGAATTGGGGATGCTGCCCCATTGGCTTATATTGAGTAAGTTTCTTGAAATTTTCCGTCATTATGACTTCTTATCTCTTGCCTTCTTTTCTTTTAATTGAACAATTTCAATGTCAATCAATTCAATTCTGATCTTCTCAATTGATTTTCTGGTTAGTTTGGCACAGTATTGCCATCTGTTTTTTCGGTCTATGATATGCGTGAGGTTTTATCATCTTGATATTAAGTTGCATTTGTTTTTTGAATGTGTCGCTTTATGATTGTAGTTTTATAATAACATTACTTTTGGCATTTTGCATTGAAATTTGATGCTCTGTCGAAATGGTCAAATAAGATTAATGAGAATCGGAGTGAGTTCACTTAAGCAAATTTTTTTTTTTGTAATCATTGAGAAACATTCACCTTAGCCTTTTCATCATTAGGCATCCCAATTGTTTAGGTCTCACTTTGATGAATATTTACTTTTTTAATTATTTGTGTCAAGAAGTGTGTGCAATTATGTAGTCATTTTCCTTTCATATTCTTTTCCCATTAATTTTATTGACTCATTTTATTAATGCATTTTCTACTCTCTTATGTGCTGTCAAATTTTTGTAATTTTATCTTTATTAGGGACTATTTTCATCTTCTTAGATTGCCATTGGGATCATAATACGTGCATGAATTATATTACTACTTCATGCCCCCTGAGTTTATTAACTGGTTATCTTCCCCTTGTTAACAGTTAGTCTCCATGTATTTTGAACTCAATTTTTATTACCCTTTTCACAGGTTCGTTGACAGGGAGAATGAACTAAGAGAAGCTAAGCCTCCCACACCGCAACCACCTGAAAAGCCTCCAATGGATCCTTGGAAGAGGTCTCGTGTCAGCAAACAGTGGCCTTCAGCTTCAATTTCTCCAACGCAGGCTGCTACAGCATCTGAAAATTAAATTGACAACCATTCCACGTCTCTTTGGAGGTACAAACAATATTGATTGATTTGTAATCAATTAATACTCAGTTAAGGAGCGTGTTTCTGTATTCAATCTTGTTAATTTTCCTCTACTTTAGACCTGCATTTTCTAGACTTTTCAAGTCATCTAAGATATTATTGATTTGTTGTGCATTTTTTAATTTTAATTATGACTTTTCTTTATCATTATATTGATGAGAGCTTTGCTCGATGCTTTATTCGCAATGCATCTGTCTCTCTCTCTCTCTCTCTCTCTCTCTCTCTCTCTCTCTCTCTCTCTCTCTCTCTCTCTCTCTCTCTCTCTCTCTCCTATATATATATATATATATATTGGGAAAAAAATGCTGAGAAGTATTTTCTTTTTATTACAAGCGCAAAGTAAATGATCTAAGATATTTTTATAATTATTATGATAGAATTAATTTGTACTATTCTACTATTAAGGGACTAAAATTCACTTTTCATCCCAAGATAATTTTTCTATCTTGTATTGCAAATCAGAAGTGTTTTGATTTTTTTATCATAGAAAAATGTATAACTTTTTTTTGTATGATTTATATACATGCCGTCAATTCCTATGTATTTACATATTCAACGCACTTCAATGTTGACATGCATGTAAATGTGTATTTCAACTTTTAAATTTGAAATTGTGACATTTTTTATGTGATATGAAGAATTATGTGGTATAACTGTAAAAGGTCAAGTTTAGGTGCTAGATATGTAATTACATTAGGCTGAGTAGCTGTCCTGGTGAGTGAACTTGTAGCATGAATTCGCACTATTCTTCCATTAAGAGACTAAGGGTGTGTTTGGGGCAGCTTGTGCTTATCCAGATAAGTAGCTTATCCTGAAATCTGAAATGCGGCTTGCATGTGTGCATGTGGTCCGCAGTGTTCGACCCGCGACCTGCGTTTAGTGTAAACGCCCAACCGCTTTTTCGAATAAGCTACCGAAACGTGTTTTCCAAATGGTGAAGCGACATTTTGAAAACGCCGCCCGCACTTATAAGCTGCCCCAAACCAGCCCTAAAATCCAATTTTCATACCAAGGTAATTTTGCTATCTTGTATTTCAAATCAGTGGTGTTATGATTTTTTCTAATCTTACAAAAAAGATATATAGTTTTTGGAAGATTTGCATAAATACCACTGAAATGTTACATATATGCCACCTTATGCATGTAAATGTGTATTTCACCTTTTAAAATTATGCTATTTTCGATGTGATATGAAGTATTAAAGTGGTATAAATGTAAAAGTGCACATCTTGGTATAACAACTTTTTATAATTTTTTTTTTGGGGTTCGGATCTCACAATAATAAATATGCACAATGGATATAATCAATGATATGACTGATATATGGGATTTATGCATAATAGTTAAATAATCTAGTGTATAGCTGGCATGAGGTTATGCGTTTTAAGATGATTAGGCCAAGTGTTACACACATTTTTGGTTAATTAAGTTGAGCCTATAAATGCAACAATTGCTAGTAATGGTGTTACATGATCGAGTAAGATTGTAGCTGGTTTTTTACCTTCTACGTAGTTATAGAAGATGGATACACTCTAAAAAGTTAATCGTGTCGAATAACATATTTAAGTGTCCTCTTAATAACTATACATGGTGATGTATTAAAGCTGAGTAATTAACTTATTAAGTGTAATAAATAAAGTCACATAAATGTAAAGTTTAATTATTTTAGTACGTCATGTAATAAAAAATATTAATGGCAATAATAAAAAACATGAAAACAAAAATAGCTTGTGAAGTGATGAATATGCGATGAATTTGAATCTAATTATATAGAAAAATGAATATATTAATATTTATGTGATTTGGTATGCTCAATTGCAAAGTTAACATCAAGGCAATAATTGTATTTAGGATTCTACTGCACATGCAAATCTCCCTTCGATCCTAGATTTTAAAGAAATCACAAACTTTTTCCTTGGAGAGATATACTTTTACTCGGGAAGCATATCTCCACCTTCTTCATTAAGGTCAGACACCACCGCTAAATTAAAACTTAGAAGACTTTTCAAGAGCCTTCCAAAGTGATTACATACTTCGAGTTTGTTTAATATCACTTTTATTTTTTCTTTAATATTTTTTATTTTTATTTTAATTGTTTTTGTATTGACTTGAAAAAAAATATGTTTGACCTATTTGATTAAGGTATGATTATTTTTTAAAACACTCAAAATACCCAAAAGTTATATTGAGTGTTTTTAAGAACATATCTATTATAATTATTAGTTTTTAAAAGCACATTAACAAACATGCTTTAAAAAATTAAGGAAAAAAAACAAAAAAATGAAATTGATCCCAAACAAGCCCTTAAATACTAATCAAGGAAATTACAAGCCTTTATAATAAGTATAATTTTAATACAAATAAGTGAAGGATACTAAAAATATATAAAATTTAATTTCAAGATTAAAAGAATTGTTTCTCAAATAAATCTCAATAGACAAAAAATATGAACATGTATGACTTTTCTTCTTGAAAATGCTAAAACATTTATTGTCAAAATACTATCATATTTCTTACTGTAAATATATGCAAAATTATAAATCTATTATAACAGATATAAGGCGGTATAAATAGAGTACTATACGACTAAGAGAGCAAACCAAAATTATCTTTCAAGAGTTTAAATTAAATTAAATTCACTTCTCAATGGTTTTAAGCAGCAATAGTTATTAAAATAAGAAATAATTAATTTTTTAAGAAATTATGATGAATATTTTTATAATTCAAACTAAGTAAGATAATTAACAAAATCACATTATAAAAAGTAAATGAATCTAAGGACATAAAATTTTTGTATGAATTCATTAATTATGTTATGATTATTTATTATTACAAGTTATTAAATAGTAATATAATTTTTTAGTTTATTAAATGAGTTCCAGGAAAATTTTATTTTAGGAATGTAGATATGTGTCTAACATATCAAAAAATTTCTTGATTAATAAATTCTTAATCCACTTAAAAATTAATAGAATGTAAGGTGACTATCCTTAATTAATACAAATAATAAAATTAGAATAATTTAAAATTTTTAACTGAAAATGATTTATAAAATAGTAAATAATTCAAAGATGAAATACATTTTATACTATACAATTACAAATTAATTAAAATTAATAAAAATATTAAATACTAATAAATTCAATTAATAGAAAATAAAACCTAGAAAATTCCAAAAAATTTAAATTATATAAAATTATAATTTAATCTAATTTCATTATGTGTTTGTCATATTTAACATATTTTAGAATAATTAAAATTTAATCATATAATGAAATATTTACACATTTACTAATCACTTTATTGGACTCTTTGACTCTCCCTTCTTAGCATATTTGGATTCTCAATTTTAAGATAAAAAAGCTCAAAATGCATCATTGAATAAATCATTTGGTTCTTGATTTTGCTAACATTATCTAACTTGTTGAGATATTTAACAAATCATTATATAATATCTTATAGAGATTTATTTTCTTCAAGTTATTAGTAAGCCACACAGAAGTTATATGGTCTCATGGGCTTAAGAATATTAAAATTCATAAAAGTAATAAAAAATTGAAAAAAAAGTGGAGATAAAAGAAAAGGGACAAAATTAAAGACTTTTTGTTTTTAATTGGATCATTCATGAAATGATGAGCTTTTGGTGAAACCATTAAAATTTCTATTTGCAAGAAGAACATTTAAATTATTAGTAACTTCATATTATATAACATATATTATTTTATTCATTACATAGAAGGATAAAGACAATTCAAATATTCTCTTATAAGCCAAAAGTCTATAGAACCATTCATATTTATTGACAAAGGCAGAATTAAAATTAAGGTGATGGAATGTGAAAAAAAAAGGAATTAAAATGAATCAATATTGATTTTTTAAATTACTGCATAAAAAGAAATGAAAGAAAACTAAGCATAATTTAAAATTTTAATAAAAAAAACTTCTTTTAATCAATTTGCATCTTAAATTGTACTCAACACTTCTTCATTGTATTAGAATTAGCAATCATTGAAAAAAATTAAATGTTTAGTACAATTGATGAAAAAAAGATTTTTTTTTTAAATATGTTATTGAATTGATTTTCTTATATTATTTTGATGCATTTAGCATTACTCAAATAATAAGTATGAAATTAAAAAAACATATATAATAAAATTATTAAGAAAATAATTACATTCAAAATCTCATCCAAAACCTAATTAGCTCTCAAAAATTAAAAATTTTAATACATATTGTTTATTTCACATGTGGTAAGATAAAGTCCATTCTCTAAAAATTAGACCAATAAAAGCTTAAGTTGGATTATAATTTTGCATGAGAAAAGTTGATAATTTCCTATGTTGGATATCATCTTTATAATCAATTTTTTTATATTAAAAGAAATAAAATTCATTTTTTCATAGAAAGGCACCTCATGCCTCAAGAAGGAACATAATTGAAGAATAATACTAAAGGATGGGCATGCAACCCAAAATACTTCTCCATTTGGAGGAAAAAGTGGGAAGTCTTTGGTTGATCCTAAGAATTGGATTGAGCTATTAAGGAGAGGAAAGAGATCTAACATCTTTAAAGATGAATGAAAGGCATACAAATAGAAGTCTTTCATGTGGGTTAAATTTTTATCCAACATCTGTTGAATAATGAGGTAGGGCAATCACATATTGAAAGAGAAAATGATAAATTGTGTATTGCATCGTAGTGAACAAAATATAATGGTTGAAGGACGAGAGAGATGTAGAAGGGTTTCTATATGAAGTTGGATTCAATCATAAAATAACAAATTTTGAGGATTTATGCTTTAAACATTTATAGGAAGAATAAAAGAGTATTCCTAACTCTCCTGAAGATCCCTTGTAATTAAAATGGACATGGGTGAGCTTTCATCCTTTGGAAGTAGGAGATTATATATAGGTGTGTGATTTATTGATACTTATTCAATTGATTATGCCCTTGTAGACATAAGAGTGGGCGGTAAGGTAACAAATTTGATGCTAAATGGGTTGCCATCATTTATTTGATGAAATATAATGATAATTAAATAAAATAATTCAAATATTAAAAATACACATAATCTTCTTTAAGTAATGGTGACATTACAAGAGAAATCAACATCCACCTTCACCATTTTGTTATAAAATCTAGTTAAATTA